GCATTCTCCGACAGTCTTCATTAATAGTCACATTAGAATTTTATTTTGTTATGTCACTTTCTCATGTATCTCATCAAAAGTTTTTACTGAATTTTTTTTCCAAAATTTTATCTTAGAATAATTTATAGATTAATTTATTCTACTTAGATGATATATTTAATGCTTTCTATCCCACATTAGTTCTGTTCAAGCCTACATCCTAGATAATATAGAATTACCATCTTCAGATAATAAAAAATACCATCATGTGACTTAGTCTAATACATTAAAACACTAAAAGTATACCAAGTATTATTATCTGTTGGTCCAGAAGATTATTTATTTTATTGATTGACTTACTGTTCTAGTTTTATGAACACCATTTGCTGTAACTTAGAGCTATGAAATGTCAGTGACTAGATTTATTAATAAAAAGTATTATGAGTGGATTTACCATGATTTTAAGGAAACCTAGTTGTCAATGGGTTAAATCATGGGCTGTACTCTACCAGACTGGCTGGTTCAAATTCACCAGCTTCTCCATAGGAAAGAAATTTTAAGGTGTTTACTTTGTAAGAATTCATAGTCCAGGAAACACTAAGAAAAAAACACACTAAGAAGTTCTACTCTGTTTCTTAAGATAATTGTAAGGTGGAATAGTCTTAAAAGTAGGTTTAAACATGTGTATAGTAATCAGTATCTTTTATTGTTGACATTCACTTAATTTTTACTGAGCAGATATTCTTTGCAAGTCTTGGTACTAGTCACTGCAGTGGTTATCAAATACAGTAATTCTTTCCAGAGAGTATAATCTCTATTAGTAGAACTCTTGACTAATCTTGAGAATGGATTACTTAGTAAAATGACTTCAGAATAAATATAATATTCCTTAAGGTGTTAAATATAATAAGACCTAAAGATGTTATTTTCAATGCAGCATAAAAATAACATATCATAGCCACTACATATACGTAGATATCTTATGCTAATATGGGTGTATATATGTCAATACCCGAGTTTGTACTGAAAACTAAAATTTTATATATGTATAAATCAATTGTTTTCCTTTTTCATATGCTTACTATTGTGTGCATTGTGGAGTTGATTTTAACTCATAGCAACCAGGAGGACAAATAGAACTGCATCTTTGGGTTTCTTAAGCTTAATCTTGATGTTACTGATCACTAGATCCGTTCTCCCACGGAGAAAGGCAGGTGATTTTAAACCACCAACCTTTTTGCCTACCAGCTAGGCGCTTAACCATTGCTCTGCCTAGATTCCTTTCGTCTATTTATTAGACTCATTAATTCTATAAAGTTAGTGAGCCACATTGTGTATTTTACCAGATAATAAATTAAAAGACATTTATTCTCATTCAGTCCATATTATTTCTAGCTACTCAAATAAGTAGGTTTGCTTGATGGTGCTATTCTAAACATCTTTCCAATGAAGTTAGCTTTTAAATTTACTTATTTATTTTTATCCTAGACATATATTTAAAGTGAACTATAAAATGCTGTCTATTTAATTTATGTATCTTCAGCCACTAATGCCTAGAATTAATGTTTGCTTTTTTCTTG